CTCTCTCTCTCTCTCTCTCTCACTCTCTCACTCTCTCTCTCACTCTCTCACTCTCACTCTCTCTCTCTCTCACTCTCTCACTCTCACTCTCTCTCTCACTCTCTCTCTCACACACACACACACACACACTTAATTGTATCCTTCCTCCAGCACACACTCCAGTTTCCTTTCCAGAAGCACCACAATCTGCAGTCACACACATTGCGTACTGAACACTGTCTATGTCTTCCCGATGTACATTGCACACTGAGCCCAGACACAGAGTATAGAGGTTCAACATCAGGGAGAAGCAGCAACAATCTCTGCACCCTTCCCCCTCTGCAGACGTTTCTCATTGCTGCTTGTTGTGTATTTCAGGATTGTGTGTATGTGTTAGGACACGCATTAGTTTTTCCTCTGTATTTTGACCCCAACACACACATTACTCCTATGTCTCCATAACAGCAGTAAGATGCCCCCTCGAGAACACAGAGTTCTCTAGCCAGTTATACATCAAAACAGTATAAGCATTAACCCAAGAATGCCCGCTCCGCAGTGTATGTGTGTTAGCCTCTCGTTGATTAGCCACAAAGCACTAACTCATTTCCCAATGAATATAAAATATAAGCATTAACCCCTCAGTGACCTGTCTGCAAAAATAATGTGCTTCAAGAGCTTCAGCTTCTCAGTGGTGAATATTCTGCGTGTGTGTATTAGACCCTCAGTGACCTGTCCCCAGCACACAGGTACAAATCCCTTAGCATCCAGCCCCATCTCAGGTGTGTTAACGTCCTAGCACCCATTTCTCAGATGTGCTGGGAGATGCCCAGATGTGATGATCCATCAGTGCCTGGTCCACAACCCATTATCTCCTCAGTGCTCATTTCCCCAGGCATGTATGCTAACCCTTCGGCACTCAATACCCTGCGCATGTAGGTTAAACAATCCCTGACAACAAAACCCTGCTGCATCTTCTACATCTCAGCGCTACCTCCACTGTTCCTAGAGCCTGTAATACAGTCCTGGCTAATAACCAGATTGTCTGTCTGCTTTTCAATATCCTCCCCACCACCTTCATAGTCCATGGTGTTGTTGATACGATCCCCATCACTTCCACTGTCCCAGAAAAAAGCGTTCATTTTTATAGGGTCTGTTTCCTAAATACTGATTGTGATCTCTGTTTCTCCTCTGCAATACCCTATGTGTAAAGAGTTTGGCTCTAATGCTGCTGCATTATGATTACACAGTTTTGTAAATGAGTAATACATGCAATATGGGTAACATTTCCCCACTCGTCAATCATCTGTATGAATATGACCATATTTTTAGTGGTTTTGTTTTTAATTATGAAAAGATGAGTAACCAC